GACATTCTATAAAAAAAAGACACTTGCACTCGAATGTTTATAGCAGCACAATTGACAATTGAAGATATGTGGAAACAACCCAAGTGCCCATCCATCCATGAGTTGATTAATAAAGAGTGGTATTGTATACCATGGAGTATACTCAGGCATAAAAACAGTGGTGAAAAGGTTGCCTTTTGTATGGGGGACTGTGAGTGGTGGTGTGGTGATTGATGTAGAGTCTCGATGGCCGATGGCCGTTGGAGTTGGAGGGGAGGGTGCAGAATTGCGGAATAGAGTGCGTAGGAGAGTTGTCCGTGCGGGGACCAAGTTCTCAAGTGGGGCAGCAAAGGATGGGTGATTCCTTTAAAATCACCTCATTTCTTGCATGCTCTGGGTGTGAGAATTTTCTAACTGGAGGAGCCAGCAGCTGCCCTTGGCCTTTTGGTGTTTGTTGGAATGATGGTGTGATAAAGTCTGGTGATTCTACGTTTGTCTTCCCACGTGGCTCACGTGGATGGAATTATAATTTGTGTCCATTACTCATGACTTCGTGCTCAGTTTTGCATACCTTAAAATTTTATTTATTCATCCATCTTCGTGTTTATTTACCAGGAGTGGAACTTCTTGGCGAGTTCGAAAGAGAGCTGGCCAAACACGAAAAGAACCGCCAGGAGCTGGCCAACGCCGAGAAACTCTTCGACCTTCCCATCACGATGTACCCGGAGCTGCTCAAAGTGCAGAAGGAGATGAGCGGGTTGAAGATGATTTACGAGCTCTATGGAGGCCTGAAGGTGAGTGTCCGCGACGGGCCCAGCGCCCCCGCGGGCAGCGTGGGGGTTACACCACAGTAAAGAGCTTGGGTCAGATTTCGTAGAAATGCTCATTTCCACCGCAGGGAGGGGACCGGGAAGTGACTGCCCATGGGTACGGGGTTTCCATTTGGGGTGTTGAAAAAGTTCTGGAACTGGATAGATGTTGGCGATAGTTGCTTAACATTGTGCATGTACTTGATGCCATGGAATTGCACAGTTCGAAATGGTTAAAATGGTAAATGTTATGTTACGTGTATTTCGCCACCGTCGTAAAAGAGAAAACTCTCTTTGGAGGTCAAGGGCTCGGTTAAGGTGCGGAGTAAAGGGTTTGGTTGGAAGTGGAAATTGAAAGTAGCAAATATCATGTCATTTAGGTGCCTCTGTTTGGTAAATGTTCACCAGTCATACATTCCTCTGTTGACTTAGTTCCTTATAGCTCAGCGCCGTGGGGGTGCGGGGCCAGGAATGGAGTCGTGTCTGCGCGTCCTGCCCTCCTTATGCCGCCGAGAAAGGCTGACCGTACTAGTCCGGGTTCTTGAGAGAGAACCAATAGGAGATGTATGCATCCAATGTCCTGGTCTGCATGTGTGTGTGTGTGTGTGTGTGTGTGTGTGTGTGTGTACATGTATAAAGATACTCGTTGTAAGGCTCATGTGATCACAGAGGCTGAGAAGCCGCCAGCTCCGTAGTCAGCAGCTGGAGCCCAGGGGAGCCGGTGGTGTAAGCTCCAGTCTGATGTCCCAGCTGGAAGACAGGCAGGCAGAGAGAGTAAATTCTCTCTCGGTCCTTTTGTTCCACTCAGGCCTTCCATGGATGGGCTGACAGCCCCCTCTGCTGTCTGCTTCCCTCGTCTGCCAGTGCCAGCGTTAATCTCACGCAGAGACTCTCGCAGACACACCCGGAATAGTGTTTGAAGATGTAGTTTTCGATTCCACATATCCACAGAGACAGCAGTTTTTTTTGAGGGCTTAAGAAAGTTGGAATTCTTTTGTTTTTGTTTTAGATCGTTGTAGTCAATCCTCTGTTGGTGAACCTGAGGTGGTTGTGGACAGATGGGTAATAATATTTTATTTTATTTTAATTTTATTAAAGACAAGGTCTCACTATGTTGCCCAGGCTAGAGTGCAGTGGTGTCAGCCTAGCTCACTGCAATCTCTAACTCCTGGGCTCAAGTGGTCCTTCTGCCTCAGCCTCCCAAGTACCTGGGACCACAGGTACCCACCACCACACCCAGCTAATTTTCAAATTTTTTATAGAGATAGGATCTTGCTATGTTGCCCAGGCTCGTCTTAAACTCCTGGCCTCAAGCGATCCTCCTGCCTCAGCCTCCCAAAGTGCTGGGGTTACAGACATGAGCCACCACACCCACCAGTAATAATATTTTCACAGAGCTGAGTGTGACCGAGGTAAGAACTTGTTCTTCCTGTCAAGTGACATTTCCGAAGGGGTCTTGTTGATGGAATGTTTCTTGCACATTTCCAGATTGCAAAGGAAGAATGGTCTCAGACCCTCTGGGCCAACCTGAATGTGCAGTTTCTCCAGGAAGGAATCGAAGGTTTTCTCAAGGCTCTCAGAAAGCTGCCTCGGCCGGTCCGCAGCCTGTCAGTGGCCTACCATTTGGAGATGAAAATGAAGGCATTCAAAGACTCCATTCCTTTACTTCTTGACTTGAAACACGAGGCACTAAGAGACAGGTTTGTTTTGTCTGCTGCGAGCCAATGGGAAAGTGTGGAAGGAACTTTTAGTTTAAAATGTGTCCCTTATCTTTGCTCAGATCTGGGGACAAGGAACAAAGGTTCAGCAATGATGTTTTGCTATACATGTGCAAGAGACAGTTCTAGAATAGTATTTCTATAAGATTACCAACCACAAGGATTCTTTAAAAAAAAAATCCCCATGAGGTGTAAAGTGGCATTTGCAGTTGCTCATTTGAAGATTAAAAAATATATGTATATAGAAAGGGGCCTAGACCAGGCCTGTCCAGCAGAAATGTCATGAGAGTCACATATGTCAGTCACATATGTCAGTTTTCTAGCAGCTACGTTAAAAGCTCAAAATGACACAGCTTCAATTAATTGTAAGAATATATTTTGATGAACCCAGTACATCCAAAACTTTTTTTCCGTGTATCCGCGGTGTGGATTTTTTTTTGTGCTGTTTTTTGTTTTTTTTTTAAACTCTGTGTTGATCTCGCTTTTGTTTTTCAGCGCCGGGTTTTGTGTCGTGTGTTTTGCCGTGTCTTGGGTTTTGTGTGGCCGTGTGTGTTTTGTGTCTCGTGTGGGGGAGTGTGGGTGTCTCTTTTGTTTTTTTTTGTGGCAGCGGGTGTTGTGGGGGGGGGGGGGGGGGGGGGGGCGCTCGCAGGGGTCCGTGATCGTTTGGTTGTGGCTCCGCACAGACGGGGTGAGCAGTTTTGTCAGCGACGTTCTCTCTTCCTCTGTCATGTTTCCCGAAGTGTGTCATCGAGTCAGGCAGTGACATCAGCGGCTTCATGTACTTAGCGAGAAAGTCATTCCGTTTTCAGTTCCCTTCCAAGCCTGTGTTTACATCCCGAGGAGTCTCCCTCGAGTGCTCACCTGTCTTTAGCACCTGCCGCACCTGTCTCTCCCTTTCGACCAGGCGCAGGCGGCCCTCAGCCCAGGGGACCCGGGGTCTCAGCCCTCCTCCTCTGCTGACGGACCCGGAGCCCTCGCTCTCCCCTTTGCGTACTTTCCTCGTCTCGCCCATGAAACTACGTAGACGGGAGCATCTTCTAGCCAAAGGGCCCTTTTTTATGATCTCATGACCCAGTGCTGCCCAAGCCTTGGTCATTTCTGGCCATTCTTGTCATATCCGAGCATCACTTATGCTGTCGTGGCTTATATTTTCATTTCTACCTGTTTATTTCTTTTTCACTTAAACGAATGTATTTTAAAAAGAAATTTGCACCACGGCTGTAAATGGAGAGCCAAAAGCTCTTGCCAGAAATAGAAAGTAATTATAAAAATAGAAAAATTTTCAAAAATTTCAGCTCAACGTGGTTGCCTGTGTCCTAGGCCCTCTGGGAAGCAGGCGGCAGCGGGGAGGCGTTGGAGACACAGCAGCGCCAAGCGGAGACTTTCCCCGCCATGTAATGATCAAAGGGATTGGGGAGGAGTGGCAGAGGGACCCCTCCCTCCCTGGGTGACTCAGGGTGGTGACACTCCTCCCTGGCAGCTCCCGTGCTAGGCACGGGACTGGGGGGCTCCTCATTTCTGAACATTGTGTGTGTTTACGACAAAAATTAGGGACTCGGCACCTACTGCCTGTCCCGGCAGGCGGCTGTCCTGTCCGGCGCCGCGGTGAGCCGCCCTCCCGCACGCGGGGCCGACAAAGGGGCAACCCGCAGGCTCAGTTCAGACCTTAAAGAAGGCCGAGTCGGGTCAAGCGCAGACGGCTTCCCGCCGCGTGTGTGCGCGGAGTCTGCCCCGCGCGGCCTGTTTGGAGGGGCCCTTCTCACTTTCTGTCACGCCGCTCGAAACCACGTGCAGTTGTTTGATTTATAGGTCTGTTTCGTTGTTTGCTGACTGTCTCCCCACGTAGGTGGCGGTTTCCGGAGGCTACAGGCCTTGCCCCTTGGTCATGGGGTCCCCCCTGCACCCACCCTGCCCCCTCCCTGGCACCGTCAGCGCACAGTAAATATTTGTCAACCGCACGACGGCTTATAATTTACACCAGGTCCTCAGAAAGGCTGACCGATCCAACAGAGATGGAGATCGCTGGTTGGGACTGTGATGGAAAGAGTTTCCAAGAATGAAAAGCTGCGTATTTTATTAAATGACTGTGGAGACGCGTGCTTGCGGGATCTGGCTAGATGCTGTTGCCTGGGGTAGCCAGTGGGACTTGGGAAAATTTGGGGAATAAACTTCCAGTGATGTCCTTGTCGTTTAGAATTCTATTATGGGATTTGTCCCGTGACTTACCCGAGAATCACGAAATCGGTCACTACATGCGGTCCCCACGCAGATTTTAACACTGATGCACTTTCAGGCACTGGAAAGAGCTCATGGAGAAAACGGGCGTCTTTTTTGAAACGACCGATACGTTCACCTTGGAAAATATGTTTGCGATGGAACTTCACAGACACACGGACGTTCTCAAGGAGATTGTCACCTCGGCTATCAAGGAGGTCGCCATCGAGAAGGTGAGACTGTGGCTAGAGAGCAGCCTGGAGGGAAAACTGTTTCTGTTCAAAGAGAACACACATTCGCTCTCGCACCCGTGGCATTGGGAATAAAGAATTGCATGTCGTAGACATCGGGTTTCTGCCTCGGTTACAGTTTTATTGCTCCTGTAGTGTTCCTTGCATTTATTGAGTCAATGACTGTTCATGGTAGAAAGATGAAAAAAGCCCGCTCATAATCCTACCACCTGGGGATAATTAACACTAACAGTTTAGTGTGTATCTTTTCCTACTTAAAAACGCATGCACGCATGTATACATGTACATTCTCACGTGTACATGTGCGGCACACATGCACACACAGCCTTGCATGTATATGCACAAACACACACAGACGCACACACCCGCACACACATATGCATGTGTATACAGTCACGTGTCGCTCAGTGGCGGGGATACCTTCTGAGAAATGTGTTGCTGGCGATTTCGTTGTTGCGCGAGCATCATGGAGCGCTCAGCTTCACCCGAGCCTCGCGGCGTAGCCTGCTGCGCACCCGGGCTGCGCGCCGTGGTCTCTGGCTCCTGGGCCGCCAACCTCCGCAGCATGTTCTGGACTGAACACCGTAGGCAGTTACAACACTGGTCAGTATTTGTGCATCGAAACACGGCTAACGTAGAAAAGGTGCAGAAAAATACAGTATTAATATCTTATGGGCCCACTGTCGTGTGTGTGGTCTGTCATTGACAGAAATGTTGCTATGTGACGTGTGATTGTACGTCTGCCCACACGTATAGATATGTACATACATGTATACAAACATATGTACATGTGCACGCCACACACATGCACCCATACACACATATACATATATACATACACATAGACAGGCACGTAATGGACACATGCACATATAATACACACATAGATGCATGCGTGCATGTTGATTCAGGTGTGTTTGACGATGGAATCACAGGCATATCGTGTTGCGATGTGGTTTTCCTCCTGAACAGTGGAGTCAACACAGTGGGTCTCGTCACCGCAGTCCCGGGGGGAGACCCTGGCGTCCAGACGCCGGCTCTGGCGCTCGGGTGGGGACGGCACCCGGCCTTGCGTGAGGGATCCGCACCCATGACCCAAACACCTCCCACCAGGCCCCGCCTCCGGCATTGAGGTCACATTCCAACAGGAGGTTTGAAGGGGACAAACGTCCAAACCGTAGCAGTATGTAACACGCGTACCTGGCACATAGCAAATGCTTGATGAGTGACTATTATTACCATGACACAGTCTCGACTTTTCAGGAAACTGATCCAGAACTCTGGTTTTATTGCTGCAAGCGAAGGAAGTTGCTGTTGGGTTGGGATTCTGTCTTTCCCATTTGTGTGTCTGAATCATTTGTTTTCTGTTCCTGACCAGGCTGTGAAGGAAATCCTGGACACGTGGGAAAACATGAAATTCACTGTGGTCAAGTATTACAAAGGCACGCAGGAGCGAGGCTACATTTTGGGCTCTGTTGATGAAATTATTCAGTCTCTCGATGACAACACTTTCAACCTGCAGAGCATCTCAGGAAGCAGATTTGTGGGGCCTTTTCTGCAAACTGTTCACAAATGGGAAAAAACACTTTCTCTAATAGGGGAAGTTATTGAGGTGAGTGAAGACAGAAAAAAAATGGATTAGAGCCAATCATAGCAGGAAAGAACCTCTCTATGAGAATATTTTGTGCTTAGAAATGAATGATCCTCTTGCATACTTTTGTCTTGGAGAGGAGTGCATGATTAGAGGAGTTGATCTGACTTTTAATTTCAACGAACGATTTTTAGTTTCCAAGATTCCTAATTGGTTCTTTTCCGTATGTCCCTGTTCTTCTTTCATACTGTCCTGTTCTTGTTGCAAGGATGCTTTCACATCCTTTATTACACAGAAAATTGTAAACATATTTATTTTAAAGTCCTTTTCAGATTTCTCTATACTTTTTGTTTTCTCAGGCAAGAATTTTCCTCCTTTTTTGTGTCTGCCAGCTGTCTCTCATGGTGGCTTTTCCTCTGTGTGATTTTGATGATTTTTAGTTTCATCACACATAAAGTTTTCTCCCTGTGCTTGCATCACTGTGTCTTCTGCTTTTGCGGTCTCTCTAACCTGGCCTGTCACATTGGGAAGCACCAAAGTCTTATATTAGGTGCTCTGGGGCCTTCTTCCTTTGTGGACGAGACTAGTCCAGACCCTCTGTGAGCAACCTGGGCTCATTTCACCATTTTCGGGTGGCTGCCTTTTTTCCTGCCCAGACCACAGGCAGGCACCTTGTCCTGGCTGCAACCAGAGCTTCGGCTGGGCTGATGCCCGGCCCGGTTCACTGGCTGGAAGTGTGACTCCGGCCCAGGCCTCCCATCATGCCCAGGCTACCTTGGCTTGCTTTTATTTGTCTATGACTTTTTATTAGCGGAAGCTCTGATTTAGAATATGCATACAGCACTGCTGTTTTCTTTGCTAGCTAAAATTTTTTTTTTAATTGAGGTGCAGTTTATATAACATAAAATGAACCATTTTAAAGCACACAATTCAGTGAGATGTATGTAGGACATTCACAGTGCTGTGCAACCACCACCTATAGTTCCAGAACATTTTCATGAAGCCGAAAGAAAGCCCGGTACCCATTAAGCTGTCTTTCCCTCCTGATCACCCCTCCTCCCAGCCCCTGGCAACCAGCGGTCTGTTTTCTGTCTCTGTGGACTTACCCATTGTAGATATTTCGTGTAAATGGAGTCACACCGTAGGTGGTTCCTTGCGTCTGGCTTTTTTTCGCTTAGTGGAGTATTTTTGCGGCTCATCCACATATATCAGTACTTCATTCCTTTTTATGGCCAGATAATATTTGATCGTATGGACAGACCGCATTTTGTCTGTCTGTCCATTGGTCGATGGGCATTTGGGTGGCGTCCACCTTTTGGCTGTCGTGAACAGTTCTGCCGTGAGCCTTCGTGTACAACTATTTAGTGGAGTCCCCGTTGTCAAATCTTTTGGGTCCGTATCTAGTAGCAGAATTGCGGGTCACGTGGTGCCTGGCTCACTTTTTCCATGGGTTTCTGCATGGCCTGTGCTTGGTGGTTGTGGGTCACAGGGCTCTACCCGCTGCTCATAACTAGAAGTTTCCTCCCTGTCCTGGGCTGGCGTAGAGAATTTTCTTTGCTTTTGTTATGTGTTCTCCGGCACCCCGTCCATCTGGAGTGGAAGGGGCCGTGTGAGTCCTCACTCTGTCGTCTCGCCTGGAACCCCCTTCACCCGAGTCGATTCGAATCTGTCCTGTGTCAAGGTGGGGCTTTGCAAGACATTCCTTGAGGTGCTGGTAACCTCTGCTGACATGAACATTTTGTGCCTTCGCAGATTTGGATGTTGGTTCAGAGAAAATGGATGTATCTTGAAAGCATTTTTATTGGCGGAGATATAAGATCACAACTTCCGGATGAGGCAAAGAAGTTTGACAACATCGACAGAATATTTAAAAGGGCAAGTGACTGGCGTCTATTTTGGTCATGAGAGGAGGACAGTGCTTTGAGATATTTTTATTTTTGTATGTGCATGTCATATTTTCTCCATTGGTAGCTTCTGAATTTTTTCTGTTATTGTTTGTGACCTTAATCAGTTTAGTAAAAATTTCAGAGTTGACACGGCGGCTCGTGCCTGTAGTCCCAGCTACTCAGGAGGCGGAGGCAGGAGGCTTGAGTCTAGGAGTTTGAGGTTACAGTGAGCTATGATTGCACCACTGTGCTCCGCCTGGGCAACAGAGCAAGACCCCATTTCTAAAGAAGAAAAAAAAAATGTGTGTTTGATATTTAGCGGCTGGCATATTCCATTGAAACTTTTTCAATGTTTATTTTTATTATAAAAGCAATACTTGCTTGTTTAAAAAATTTTGAAAATGTAAAAAAGAAGGAAAAATGGTTCTGTCACCTTCATGGGACCACTTTAATTTGTCAGTTTATTCCTTTTTATCTTTTTTCCTATGTGAATAGGTTTAAAAACATAACGATAATCATATTGTGTACGATTTTATAACTTACAATTTTATCTTAATATTGTGAGAAACATTTCATATTATGAAGCCATCTGAGAAAACATTTTAATGGCTTTATATACCATTCCAGTGAATGGGCTGACATTAGTTGACTGTTCTCTAGTCATTTGACCTTTTGTTTCAACAGAATTCTTTGCTTGCATAAATAATGTGTAGGTTTGTGCCTAATGGCTTTTCCATATTTAGGATGAATATCTTAAAACAAGTTGTTGGAAGACAAATTGCCCGTGAAAGGGTGTGCTCACTTTAAATCCTTTCCAGACAGGGCTGTGCCAGTTGTCACTGCTGCCACTAATCAGTGCGGCTGGGATTTTAACCCAGCCCACCCACCCTCAAAGCCGAGTACTCCGCTATTAATGCTCAGCTGGCCTGTTGTGCTCTTCAGTTACGGGCGGGCAGGGCAGGTGTCTGTTCTCTTGACCCGCTAGAGTTTATAATTGTTTCTTATTCATTTGCATAAGCTCTTTTTTGAAAAACATAAAAAAAAATACACGGGAAAAATCAATTCATTATAGAAAAATTTAGAAATTATTTAAAAAGCAAAAAAAAAAAAAAAGCCAAGAAAAATAAAAAAAATAGAAAAAAAATGCGTACACCACCACCACCCAAGATAATCACTTTAACAGCTGAGCAGATGGATTCCCAGAATGACTATTCCTGTGTAAACATATCGGTACATATTGATAAGTAAGGACGCCACAAAGCGCCATCATCCTTGCCAATATAATTGGCTCATTTCATTTAACATTTTTGACCTATTTCCGTAAACAAACAACTAATTTGGCACTTACGGCAGATTATTTACCTGTTTCTCTGTTGTTGGATGTTTAGGCAATTTCTTTCCTTCTTTTGTTCTTTTGCTTTTTTGCCGGCCTAAAGAGAGCTGCAGTGACCGCTGTATGTACGCAGATTGTTCCAAGTGCAGCCGCTGGCTTGGGTCATTCAGCAGCTGTCGGCTGAGCTCCTGCCGGGTGCAGCACTGTTGTGGGTGGGTGGGACCCGCCGGGGAACAAAGCACCTAAAACCCCTTCCCCCTGCAGCTGGCCTCGTAGTGGGAAGATGGGGGAAAAAACACCAAGACATAAGTTAGTTATATGTGATGAGTTGGGAGGTGCTATAGGCGTGCTTGTTTAAAAATCTGATGGCTTTTGCCGCATGGGTCCCCCGCCAGGCCGTGGCCCTGGGCGGTTTGTCAGTTCTGTTCTGGGCCCTGGCGAACGCCTGTTCCGGGGGCACCTCGCGTGACGTGCCCTTCTGTCCCCGCCCAGATCATGGGCGAGACCTTGAAGGACCCCGTGATCAAGCGCTGCTGCGAGGCCCCGAACCGCCTCCACGACCTGCAGAACATCGGCGAGGGCCTGGAGAGGTGCCAGAAGAGCTTGAACGACTACTTGGACTCCAAGAGAAACGCCTTCCCGAGGTTCTTCTTCATCTCCGACGACGAGCTGCTCAGCATCCTGGGCAGCAGCGACCCGCTGTGCGTGCAGGAGCACATGATAAAGGTGGGCGCTGGCGCGAGCTTCGCAGCTGCGGTTTGTGCTTCCCCCGTTCCCTTTGCGATGAGCTCCGCAACCCCGAGGTTTAGGACCGTGCACTGCTGCTGGAGTTTCCATCTGAACCGAGAGCCCGACGGTCCTCAGTCTGGAATGACACCAGCCTCAGCTCTTTCTCCACAGTCCAAAACCTTCTTTTTTTTTGAGAAACTAAAGAAATACAGAAATACACAAAGGCTAATATAATAAACAGAGAGGCAGTAGAGGATGGTCGTTTAGTACAGGGACTCCGGAACCAGATTGCCTGGGTTCAAATCCTGGCTCTCCACTGAGTTGCTGTGTGACCTTTGGCAAGTTACTTAACCTCTCTGAGCATTGGTTTCCTTGTCTGTAAATGGACATAACCCTCACAGTTACCTGTTTCAGTGGAGTTGTTATAAAGATGAAATGAGTTAATATTTATGAAGTACTTAGCAAAGTGCCTGCCTTTCAATGGTAGCTAAAGAACTTTATCACCACTGACCTCTAACTCCCCAGCCCGGGCTGCTTCCTTACCCTCCTTCCTCCTGCACGCTCAACTGGTACCTGTGTCTGGGTTCCTCCCCATCCCGGAAGTGTCAGAGAGTCTGTCTTCTTTTTGTTTCCTCTTTTAATCCATCACGGATGGCGCACAGTGCCGGGTGAACGGAAGTACCCAGTGCATGTCTGTGGAGTGCAGACAGCCGGGCGAACGAGCATCTATTTGGTGTGCGACCTCGGCTGGCCCGGTGCCGTCGCTCGGGTCCCGGCAGCCCTGCCGTGGGAGGGCGTGCGGCGGGCTGGTCTTGGAGTTCAGAACTCGGCGGAAGTATGACGGGGTCCCTCTGCCGCTGTGTTGCAGATGTACGACAACATAGCGTCGCTGCGGTTTAACGACGGGGACAGCGGGGAGAAACTGGCGTCGGCGATGATTTCGGCGGAAGGCGAAGTCATGGAGTTTCGGAAGGTCATCCGGGCCGAAGGGCGGGTGGAGGACTGGATGACGGCGGTGCTGAACGAGATGAGAAGGACCAACAGACTCATCACCAAGGAGGCCATTTTCAGATACTGCGAGGACAGAAGCCGGTAAGGCCGCGAGCGTGAACGTGGGCGGCTCTGCTCCCCTGTGGGCAGGGCGGATCAGCTCCGAGGGTTTGGAGATTGGCTGACGTTTCTTTTCTTGCGGTAGCTAACTAGCCGACACAGCGCTGCCTTTAAGTGACCCCCTGGTGCGGGTGTGCTCCCGGGCAGCTTGTTAGAAATGCGAGTCCTTGGGCCGCACCCCACACCTGCCCACCGGACGCTCTGAGAGTGGGGCCCCGGGACAACCACCGACTTGTGGACCAGCAGTGAACAGGGGTTTAGTGGGATCGATTATGCGCGTATAGAGTTTTTCTAAAGTATTTAATGAATTTTAATTAAGCGTTCCTTGCATTGCAAGTCCAGCTTTTATGAAGATCGGGTTAGACCTGCGTGCATGCACCTGGAGGCGCGTCCGTACGAATCATTAAATGAGAAAAGCAAGGTGCAGGGGAACTTACACCACTTGATGCATTTTCGGAGAAGCACCGGTCACCGCTCCTTCTCATGTGTTTATGTGTAATTGATTAGGTCTGGCGGTAACGGAAGAAGCGGCGGGTGACACTCAGGAAGCTATAACAAGGGCGTGGTCAAAGATTACGGAAGTCTTTGTTGGAACGTTTTTACGATAAGCCCATAATACTAAGTCATTGTGAAAACTTACGCAGAAATATTTCACGATTTTATAGTATTTTTATGCAGTCAGGTGCCTGCGGCATTTTCTTCAGGCGGATCACGGGCCTGGTATTTTACTATCTAGGCAGAGAATCTTCCTGTCATTTGCTTACCTAAACCTTGACTCTGCTGTCCCCAATCCAGAAGTAAAAGTCCCGAGGGGGCTGTTGTCGGCGCGCGTCCTCGGATCGGCCGGAGTCCCTGACGGTGCGCTTCCCCCGCAGGGTCGACTGGATGCTCCTGTACCAGGGCATGGTGGTGCTGGCCGCCAGCCAGGTGTGGTGGACCTGGGAGGTGGAGGACGTCTTCCGCAAAGTGCGGGACGGGGAGAAGCAGGCCATGAAGAACTACGGCCGGAAGATGCACCGGCAGATCGATGAGTTGGTGACGCGCATCACCACGCGCTTAAGCAAAAACGACAGGAAGAAATACAACACCGTCCTCATCATCGACGTGCACGCCAGAGACATCGTGGATTCTTTCATAAGGGGCAGGTGAGCGTCTTCCGCGGCCACCTGCGTTTCAAAACGGACCCTTTGGTGTTCTCTGGTCCCCATCAACCGTCCCCCCGGCCCCACCCCGCATTTCTCGCCACCCAGCATTCTCGAAGCCCGGGAGTTCGAGTGGGAAAGTCAGCTGCGGTTTTACTGGGACCGAGAGCCAGACGAGCTGAACATCCGGCAGTGCACGGGGACCTTCGGCTACGGCTACGAGTACATGGGCCTGAACGGGCGGCTGGTCATCACTCCCCTCACCGACCGCATCTACCTGACGCTCACCCAGGTGACCGTGGCCCTGCGCTCTCAGTGCCGTGTCCCTTGGGGCTGTGCGTTTCCCCCCAAGCATGGCGGTGGCCACTGAAACAGTTAAGGGAGATCAGGAAAAGATGTTCCATTCGGAATATAACCTGATCGTCACCGTTTGGGATGGGGATGTGAGTGTGCCCCTGAGGGCCGTCCCTGGGGACCATTGGGGCGTCATCCTTAGGGCAGGCACCAAACAGCTGCTCAGTCCCTGGGTCACTGGTCCCTATATAACGGGGGGTCGGCAGAGGTCAGTGGAAGGGTGCAGACACGTCAAAGGGGGTGCCTCCTGGGGCCGAGAGCACCGTGCTTTTGCACGTCTTACGACAGCCCTTATTCCGGACTCCAAGCGAGCAGCCTTAGAAGATGGAGATGGTGTCTCCCTCCAGGACAGCGGGCGATGCAGATACCGTCGCTGTCCAGGCAGGGTTTGGGCAGGGGTGCGAGCAACGCCTGCGACTCAGACCCGCTGTGGCGCGGGGTGCACCTGGGCCTCCCCCGCCTCTCCTCTGGGACCCGCGGGCCCGGGGTGGAGGGACGGGCGGGAACGGGAAGCCCACGCTGTCTTCTGTGCTCGGAGTAATAAAGTCCTTTGCTTTGGGGGAAGAAAAAAGGTGTGATCTTAATCTGCGTGAGTCAGGGTTCTCCAAAGAAACAGAACCAGCTGGAGACGATCCGTCTCTATCTAGACAGTGTGCAGGTGGGCATCTGGGCAGAGATTCGTTAGGAGCTGTTGACCGGTGCGGGCACAGAGGATGCGCCCCGCAGGCTGTCGTTGCGGGTGTAGCGCCGCAGAGCCAGCGGCGCGGTGGGAAGGTCCGACCGCGGAGAAGCAGCAGTGCAGACCCCGGTCTGGGTCCGAAGGCCTGGGAAGCAGGGGCGCCAAGTGTGGATGCCGATGTCCCAGCCCAGGCAGCGTCAATCCAGCCTTCCTCCTTCCTCGTGTTCCAGTCAGTCTTCAAGGGGTTGGATGGGGCCACCCACCCTGGGGGGGCCGCCTGCTTCCTCAGTCCGACCCTCACAGACACACCCGGAACGACGTTTGGCCACCTGTGGGCATCCTGTGGCCCAGTCAGGTCGACACATAGAATTAATGATCACTGGTCCATGTATATATGCGCACACGCACGCACACGCACACACACACGCACGCACGCACGCGCACACACACACGCACGCACACACGCACGCACACACACACGCACACACACACACAAGCACGCACACGCACGCACACACACACTCTGCACCTGTCATCACAGTAACGAATTTGGAAGCGACACCTGTCTCCTTCTGTGCATCAGAAAACACGTTTACCTTTGGCTTATTGCAGGCCCTGTCCATGTATCTGGGCGGCGCCCCTGCTGGCCCGGCAGGTACGGGCAAAACCGAGACCACCAAGGACCTGGCGAAAGCTCTGGGCTTGCTCTGCGTCGTAACCAACTGCGGCGAAGGCATGGATTACAAAGTAAGGCCTTGCTGTCACTTCTGGTCCTATCTTGTTAGGCAGAGAGCTTAAAGCGGGACATGGCAGGAAGGCATTTCACCTCACTGTGACATGGCGACAGCTGCAAGAATATGGTAGAAAACCTCTGACCACCACAGTCCCAGAACTGGAATGTGTCTGCGTAAAGATTCTGCTTTGTCAGCAGCATGTAGAGCAGGAGTCCTGGACCACCTAGCGTACCGGGGTTGGGTAGCTAATGTGAATGAGTAAAGCAGCCGGCAGAGGCAATAGGGAGTGGTGGGGTCTGTGGCCAAGTGGAGAACAGTGCTCTAAAGGGGTGTGGCTGCTCAGCTTTGATTAATTATTGCTACTTGGGAAAGTGGTCCCACCATTGCTAGACTTCATAGCATTTCAAGAGAAGCCAAAAGTCTGGCATTTTACACAAAAATCTTGATTTGTAAAATCCCTAGTGGGAGCTGGCCCATGAGAGGGGCTTGGAAGTCTTGCCAGAAGGATCCGTTTGTGGGGGGCTGGCTGGCTGCTTCTTTGTCAACCGACAATCTCGTTGTTTGCTTTGATTTAGAAAGTGTATCCACAAATGTGTTGCTTGCAGTTTTAAAGACGAAAATCGCCCTTGCCCTGACATCTCTTTCACTCCAGGCCGTGGGGAAGATTTTCTCTGGCCTTGCGCAGTGCGGGGCTTGGGGCTGCTTTGACGAGTTTAATCGCATCGACGCCTCTGTGCTCTCAGTTATCTCGTCTCAGATCCAGACCATCCGAAACGCTCTGATCCATCAGTTAACCACGTTCCAGGTGAGGACAAGTGGGAAGCCCACCGCGATCGTCTCCCCAGGGTGGAAACTTGCCCCGTTGCCTTTGAAACGTCGGGTGGTGCGGAGCTGTCTTTCCAGACTAGACTTCCTGGAGAGGATTTGTCAGATTTTCGTTCTCCAATTGAGTTGGTTGGGATTCCCCAAATTATCATCGCTGATGATTACAGATATTATTTATTTTATTTTTCATTGCAAAATATTAAGGGGGTACAAATGTTCGGGGTTACATGGATCGTTTTTGTAACGCTCGAGTCCTGGCTGTGGGTGTGTCCGTCACCCAAATAGTGCTCACCGTACCCATTATGTTGGTGCATTCCCCACCCCCTTGCTTTCCACGGAGTTCTACTTCCCTCTGTGCACAGCTGCGCCCATCGGTTAGCTCCGATTTAATAGTGTGTACCTGTGGTGTTTGTTTTTCCATTCTTGAGATATTTGACTAAAGATTTTAATAGTCCAAGGACTTCAAACTAATTCCAGACATATAACTAACAGTTAGAGACAGGTAGCACATGTTCTCAAATAAGTCATGTGCAGGGACCCCTATAAAGGGAAAAAAACATTCTTGGTGACTTCCCAGGTCTGAGAAGACCTGACTTAGAAAGTTAATGTTCCGTTCAATCACGTTATCACAGTGAACAAGAAATTCTGCCTTCATACCTTATAAAGTTATGGCATTATTATGAGTAGGATTTTTAATGTTGTTATCAAAGTGAGAAGGCAAATTGAAAACAAATTTTTCGGGGGCCGGGCGTGGTGGCTCACAC